CAAGACAAGACCTTGGGTTTGTCACCACCAGGCAGCAAGTGCCCCCCTCCAAAACCCTGCTGAGCCCCTTCCAAGAACAACTAAAAGCAGTTCGTTTCCACTGCCAAAAAGCACAGCACCTCTCAGACCTCTCCCAGGAGCCCCAGGGAGGAAATGTGGAGCAGGGGGTTGTCCCAGGACTGACCACGTACAAGCAGCACCTCCAAAAAAGCCATTTTTAAAGCTAAAGGAAACACTCAGCTACATCTTTTGGGGCAGGGCAGAGGCAGGAGCTATTCCTGCTGCACTGCACCCCTGGGACTGGAGTATAAAAGGATCCCTGGGCAGCAGGAATTTGGGACTTTACACCAGCAAGCCCCTTTCAGGGCCTCATCTCAAGAGTTTTCAGCTGGGGCAGAGGAAGAGCTCCCGACAGGAATTTCACTGGTTTTAGGCTCTGCTGGTGATGCCATTCCCTTCCCAGGACAAGGGAGCTGCTCCAAGAGTGGGACATGCTCTGAGTCAACTTTTGCTAAGTTAAGTGCCTCCACTCAACTGCCTTTCCTGGGAAAATAGCTGCAGTCAGACAGAGAAATGCCTTCAGACAGTGTGTAGGAGCCAGCTGCTGTTCAGTGCTGCTCTTCTAGAGTCTTTTCCCACATTTTTTCCCAAGGGAAGGCTATTTACCAGCTTCATGCCCCCACCTACAGATCATAAAACAGTCCTATAATGGTGTTTTCCCCCTCCCTCCCAGCACTTCCCACCCAGTCACAGCCAAAGTGAAAAGCGGCTCCACATAAAGGAATTCCCTCTCCCAAAAATGTACATTTTTAAAGAGAGAAAATCCAGAGGATACACCACGTGTGGGTGATTTTACTGGACCATTTCTGAGCTTCCCAAGGCTTTCACAGCCATCAGCAATCCCAGGCCGAGTGCTAAGTCTCCCTTTCAGCAAGCAAAGGCATTGTGCCAGACAGGAATTTCAACTAAATTAATTTCCCTCTTCCAAGTTAAAAAAACAAACAAACAAAACAAAACAAACAACTATTCACAGTTTAAAAAAAAAGAGAAAAAAAGCACAACCCTTTTATTTGAACCTGAGCTCGGGCTGAGTTTGGTTTGGGGCAGGTTTTAGGACCTCAAACATCAAACAGCAAGTTTTTAAAGCTACGTCACCACTGTTGTGAGTAATGGGGCACGAGCCTGGTGTGTTTTCCCTGGAGCCAAGAAACACAACCGAATTTTCAGGCTGGATATATCTCCCTTTGCTAAATCACTGGTTTTAACCCTCAAGAAGTGGTTAAAACGCGAGGACAGAAAGCAGGGGAGGGTTTTTTAAGCCCTGCGGGGTCCGGTGGTGCAGAGGGGAAGGGGGAGGCTCTCCCTGGCTCCCTTAGAACACAATGGGCTTCCCTCGCAGAAAGAAACAAAAAGACCCGAGGCTTTTCCAACCTGCTTCCTAAGCCTCACATCCCAACACAAACAAAGGCCATGTGACTGCTGCAAAACGCAGCGAGACTTCCATGGACAGACGTGCTCTGCAACAAATCCCCCCTCCCCGCCCCGGCAGCTCCCAAGGGATCTGCCAAAAGCAAACAAGGGAGCGACCCCGAATTCCCTTCCCTCCCCTGCTCTTCCCGGAGGTCGCTCAGGCTGGAGCTGCTGTCGCTGCCCGGCACAATCCAACCTCAAAGTGCTGTTTTCATGCTCCATTTGGAGCGTTCCAGCTCTGGCCGGAGCAGCTCCCCCAGCTCGGACCCCTGGCCTGGGAGCACATGGATGTGTGCCCTGGGATGATTTCTGCTTCCCTGGGCTGCTTCAAGCAAAGGCAGAGGATCTCAGCCTTGTTTTTTACACTAATTAAGTGGGAAGAGGTGTTTGCCGGCCCACGAATAAAATACTTTCCCCTCTGACTCATGTAACAACAGGAATTTCTCATATCCAGCGCTGCCCTTGCGGGTATCCCTTCCATCCGCAGAAGTTTGGGATGTGGATATCATGGCACCTCTGCCCCTGTGTGGCAGGACAGCCCTTCCCTGCAGCCAGAGCAGTTAGGCTGGCTCCAGAGTGCCAGGCTGAAGCCAGGGAGCTGCAAGCCCGGCGTGCCTGCGTGGGTGCAGGAGCAGCTCCTGTCCCAACCACAGCCTGGCCTGAGGGAAAAGCTGGCGTGGAAATCCAACCACCTGCAAGTGCAGCACTGCTCTCAGAACTCCTGGGATCAGAGCAGAACTCAAGGGCCAACAGAGACACCTCTTTCTGCCCAGCCCAGAAGCTCCCACGTGCCTTTCTCCATTACTGCCCTGGAGAACAGAGTTGTAGCAGGAAAATCTGCCAGGGTACTTCATTATGGATCAGAAGCAACAAGCAGGGAGCTGCACACCCCAGGACTGACACAGCAAGGTCTTCTGCTGCATCCAAGTCTGCCAAAAAGCTGGCTACATCCCTAGCCCTGGAATTCCCGCTGCTGGAAGTAATTCACCTGCTGGCACAGCTTTCTGCTCAGGCACTTGTTGAGCAGAACCCCCTGCCTGTGGGGTTTCCTGCTCCCCATCTCCTAGGAGCTGTGGCAGACCTGGCAGTGTCAGATTAATGACTCTATGACCTTAATGATCTTTTCCAAGCCAAACGATTCTGTGATTATAAGAAGCGAACTTCCCCCTGGAATCCAAAGAGACCCTCAGGATTCAAACACCTTTTGTATAAACAAGCCCAGGATTCCTGGTTATATCCACACTGAGTTCCCCCTCCCCTCTGCAGGCTCCTGCTGAGACAGAGTCAGGGCTTTAACTCCCCCCTGCCCAAAGCAAACATTCGAATTCCTGCCTTCCCTGCCAAATTCCATCTGCACAGCTACTCCGGGACCCCCCAGCATCCCTGAGCAGGGGCTATGGACCCCCAGCAGCTCCTAGCTGTGCCCAAAGGTCGGGCAGCCCTGGTCACAGGACTTCTGAAGTCCAAAAACTGCTTTATCTCCACATTTCTTTCTGCACGTGGAGCTGAAAAGCCACCAAACTGCCAGCACTGCAAAGGGCCACAACCCGGGGTGATTCCCAATGATTTCTCCCAGCACTGCTACACAGCTGGCTCATGGCTAATGGGATAAATCCCAGACTGATCTGTCACAGTTTGTGGTCCCTCACTGTCATGGTGTCCCCAGCAAGCAGAGGCACATCAGGCAGGAAAGTGCTGGGACAGGACCACACTGCAGAGGCAGAGCTGTGTCCCAGAACAACCAAACCCCATGTGCCAGGATGGCCAAATCCCACATCCCAGGACAGCCAGACCCTGTGTGCCAGGACAGCCAGACTCTGTGTGCCCAGTACGCCAGGACAGACAGACCCTGTGTTCCACAACAGTCAGACCTTGAGTCCTGGGACAGCCAGACCCTCTGTTCCAGAACCAGCCAAACTATATGTTCCAGGACATTCAAAACCCATGTCCTGGGACTGCCAGACTCCATGTGCCAGGACAGCCAGACCTTGTGTCCAGGGACTGCCAGACCAGTGAACCAGGACAGCCTAACCCTGTTCTCCCAGGACAGCCAGACCCTGTGTCCTGGACATCCAGACCCTGTGTGCCAGCACATCCAGACACATTGTGGTTTGCGATGCCGCCAGAAACCCGCAGGGAAACCCCCGCGGAACTTCTCCCCGGGGTCCAGCCGTGCCGGGATCCGCGGTGCCCACGGCACAGCCCGGCCGCGGGGTTGAGCGCCCGGAGCAGCACCCGCGGCAAAAGCGCTCCCGCGTCCCGCACATAAAGACCCGTCCCCCATCCCGGGGCCGTCGTCCCGGGATCCCCTCGGGAT